TTACCCTAGAGGCAACATTGGTATTGGTCGAGTAGGGGAGTGACGTGGGTCAGTCTGTGCTTAAGGAAAGTCCTTTGGGCAGTAGTGTGTAGTCAGGAAGCACTGGAGTAGGAGAACGAGAAAGGAGGCTGGTGCGGCTATTTCTGGGCGAAGGGATGACGCCTGCCCACCGGGAGTAGCTGTGGAAGTGGGGAGAAGGGGTCGGATGCAAGAGATTTTGTGCCGGTAGAAATGAGGATCCCGTCAAAGTTATAAACCTCAGAGGATTTGAAAGAAAAGGGGAAGATGGAGAGGGTTTTGGGGGAAAAGATAATGAGTTCAGCTTAGAACATCATCTGTGTGAGATGCCTCGAGGCCGGGACATTTGAAATGTCTAATAGGCTGTGGTGGATGTGGGACTGAGGCTCTGGATGGGTGAGTCATGGGCATAGAAATGATCATTAAACCCTGGGGAGCTGATGAGATTACTGAGAGAGAGTGTGTCAAAGGGCCTGCCTATGACTGCAGCTTTGGAGACACCCATGCCTGGGGGGCCAGCAAAGGAGACCGAGACCCTCCTTAACAAAACAGCCTATGTCTTAGAAGCCATGGGGGACATTAAAGTTCATTTAATCCAAGCTTTTCGCTGTATAGATGGCTCACTCAGTCATCAAGCATTTAGTAAGTGCCTACTGCATACCAGGCGCTGTGGCAGGCCTGGGAATACAGAGACAAACATGAGCCAGTCTTTGAACTTAGGGAGCTCACCTTCTATGAGAAGCATTGGGGAAACTGAGAGCCAGAGATGTGAGCCCAGCAGGCATTGGAGCCCTGGCTCTCGGGCTCTCCACAGTGGCCGTGGGGGCTTGTTAAATCACTGCTGATTTATTGATTGGTGTAAACTGAAGATGATTCACCAACGGTTGGCAGCTGCTCAGAAGTTGGGCTGACACCCCTTTCTGAGCGGAGCCCAGGACAGGATGCCGTTCTCTTTTCTGCTGCACAGGGAAATGGTGGCCCTGATCCCTTCTAAGTCGAGTTCCCCAGGAGGGCCGAGAGCACGTTATGGATTGTGTCAGTCAGTAGTTACCGAGTGCCCGTTCCCAGACTAAAGACTGGGTTCTTAGCCTGGGCTCGACGGATCTCCAAGAGGGTCTGTGGATAGATCTTGGAGGTCCGTAAACTTGGGCTGGAAAAGAGGATGTCTTTATTTCCAGTAACTTTGACTTTCCTTTGTAATCCTGTACGCTTTATTTTATTTCTTTAAAAACAGTCTGAGAAGGGGGCTGTTGGCCTCGCCTGATTGCCAGAGAGGTCCATGGCACAGAAAGGGTTAAGAACCTATGCTCTAAGGTCATGCAGATGGGAAGGTGGCACTTAGGAGTCAAGTCAGCGAATGTCACTGAGCCTCGGTTTCCTCACCTATAATATGGGGATTAGCCGATCAGTTAATCAACAAACATTTTTTAAGGCACTGATAAAAATGAAATGGCAGTTACAACATATATAGCATATGTACATATAAAATACATAAATGTATACATGATACGAATAGACACACTCCAAATATATTCAAAGACAGTAGAAGAGATAAAAGGTCTAAGAACCAGAGGAGACAAAGTAAAGTGGAATCAACAAAAGAAGATGGGCCTGTGATGAGGGGAGAGTCAGGGATGGATGCCGGCCAACCCATGGTCTCCAGTGGTGATGGGGAAGGTGAGGATGGTGAGGATGGCCTCCAGCACACTACGTGGACACCCTCTGCCAGCTCATGGGAGGTGCCATGGGTGGGCATGCATAGAGGAGCTGACCTCCGTGGTGTTGGAGGAAACGTCCACTCAGATGAGATCACTGATCCATTCGTATGTTTTGGGTCTTGACCTCACATGTCTCTTATGAAGATCGTGTGAGAAACAGTACGAGGTTATTTTTTGTAACCCATATCTGAGCCTTGACGTTTTTCTGTTATTTCATTGTCTTGGATAGAACATTTATGAAGCACTTACTGTGTACCCAGTGTTGTATTGTGTTGGGAATACAAATACCAACAAAAAGACAGTTGCCTGCCCTCGGGAGTCTTACATTCCTATGGGGGGAGGGGAGGTGGCAACACATGACGAGAAGCAGAAGAGCAGGGAAAGGTTATGGGAAGACTGTTCAGCTTCTCCTATGGAGGAGAGGCGGGCAAGCCCCAGAGCAGTAGCTTCGGTGCCCTGGCCCAGGCCCCAGCATTTTAGATGGGCAAGGAGCTCAGCAACCGTCCAGCTGTCCGGTCTGCATCCACGTGGAGTCTTCTCTGGAACGCCCAACCAGGGTTCATCCAGCGTTCATCCAGTGTGTGCCTGGAGGCGACCTCCAAAGGGGGCTCCCTCCCACGGCAGCCCCTGTCGCATGTGCACGATGGTCCTGACGTCCAGCTTAAAATTGCCCTTATATCCACTGTGGGGTCTTGGCTGCTGAGGACAGGGCACATACGTGGCAACCCTTCAGATGTCTGGAGGCAGCTCTCACGTCCTCCAGACCAAACCCTCCCTCCCGATGTTCTTCATATTTGGGGGCTGCGTATAACATTACTATGCCCTGCTTCTTTGAGTTCTGCTAGGGCAGGCATTTGGATCAATTTAATACTTTTCTTGGGGAGGGGGATGTGACCAGGTAGAATTGAATAGTCTTCCCCAAGATGGACCACCATCTTGAGGCTCCACAGGGGAAGGACCGTTCTTAAAAATGCCTTAAGGACTCTAAATCCCTGGGTTGAAGGCATGATTGGCAATGGGGTGGAGCCGGGAAGGCGGTCAGTGGGCCCATCCTGGCAGTAAAATCTGAGTTTGGGGGAGGAAGTCGCTGAAAATGGCAGGCAGCCACAAGCGTCCAGGAGGGGGATGGTCTGTTCTATCTGGGCCGGGCAGCCCAGTCCAGCAGGGGGTCCTGATCGACCTGTGTGGACCTGTCTGTTACCCAGCGGTAGTTACCCTCTGGAGAAGTAAACGGTTTCCATGGTTACCGACTCTCCTCCTGTGGATGGTGCTCGCTCAAACCAGGAATGGATCAGGGAAGTTGGTGAGGCACCGCTGGAAATCTAGATCGGGCTTCGATGGCCACCTGCCCAAGCCATCAGCCTTTGTCATTGCCTCTGAACCGAAGAAAATGATTTACTCTATTTAGATGATCACATCTGGGAAAGCAAGTGTTTTTTAAATGCCTTTTGCCCTTTGACTTTAATTTTTTATGTAGCACACGAAAAATGATTTTACAAGTTATTTTATTTTTTTTTTGGGGGAGTCACAAATGATGTAAAGAATCTTGGCTCTGCCATTTCCTAGCTGGGTGACCCTGGGCAAGTCTCTTTGACCCTTCAGGCTCTAGTTTCCTCATTTATAAAATGGGGAAATAATACTCAGATCACTGGACAAGAGCACTGGGCTGATTCTGATAGGGAGAAATGTGATAGGAATATGTAGAAAACACATTTGTATGACGTACATACAGATTTATATGTAATATAATGTGTAAAATAAGGAAGGAAGTGATTATCTAAACATTAATTAAGCACTTGTTAGATGCCAGGCACTGTACTAAATGCCGGGGAGTCAGAAGCAAGCAAGACTGCCCCTGTCCTCAAGGAACTTACATTCTAGTGGGGGAAGACGACACATCAAAGCTGGATGAAGTGGGGAGGGGGAGGGCAGGGAGGGGCCGGAAAGTGAGGAACAAGGTCTGGAGGAGGCCAGAGGCTGGCTGGCCCGGGCCCTTCCCAGTGGTGCTCCAGGAGGAGTGGGGGGGGGGGTGGTCCTTGTGGTAGAACATCCGGCGTGAGCAGTATGCACAGGAGGTAGGCCCTTCCAGGGTGAGGGTTAAACGCATTTTAATGGATAAAAAGGTCTGTGAGTTTTAGGGAGCTGGGAACTCAATATGAATCAGCTCAAGGAACCACTGTAGGCTTCTGTTTTCTGGGGAGGGGCGCAGCAGCATGCAGGAATAACTGGGGAGAGGACGATCCTGCAGTACTTGGGTCAGACCACGGGGGCAGGTCCGAGGTCAGTGCTGGGCACTAGATTTTAGGAATGGCGTTGGGAAGCTGGGGGTCGTGCAGAGGAGGCGGCCAGCATGGGGAAGGGCTGTGAGTCCATCCTCTATCTGCGTCAGTTGAAGGAAGTGGTTGATGGTTAATCAGTTGATTCAGAGAAGACATGGTCATGGGGGACGCGGTCAGTGTCTTCCCATAGTTGAAAGGCTTTGAGAGGAGGGGGACTTTGGCCCCTGAGGGCAGAGTTAACAATAATGGGTGAAAATTGCAAAGGACAAATTGAAATTTGATGGGGTAGAAGCTTGCGTGAAAAAGGGGAATGGGCTGCCTTGGGCTATAGTGGGCTGCTTCTCTGCCTTCCAATAAAAGTTGGGTGACCACTTTGGGGTGCGTTGTAGCGGGACTTTTCTGCAGGAAGGCGTTGGACAGGTTGGCCTCTGAGGTCTTTTCCAGCTGTGATGCCTCACTGGGTTGTTTTGAAGAGAGTGCTCGGTAAAACCGACATCTAGTGTCATGGAAATGGGTGCTAGCATCATCATCTGAAGATGGCGGGTGGGATGTACCGTAAGTTGGTACATTTTTTTTTTTTGACAGTGGATTGATTTGATTGTCACATGTCAGGTGTTTATCCTGGCCGGTGATCGTAATGATTCTGTGGGACAGAGGACGGCAGGTCCAGTGATTCTGGTTGTGACCAACAGAACCAAGATGGGTTGCTCAGAGATCTCATTCATCACCAGCTGACCATTGAGAGTCAGGGAAAGCTATGGAGACGGGAGAAGGTTCTGGCGTGTGAAATCAGAGTTTATCACTCATTGGAGAGATTCTAAAAGGCTGTCCAGCCAAACATCTCACAACTGCCCACGCATTTAAACTCTGCTGTCCAGCCTGATGTGGAACACCAGGCCCCAGGGCAGGGGAAGCCAGTCCTCCTGGCGTGTGTGTTATAACCAAAGGAGGCATGAAGTGAGACGCATTTCCTTCTATTTTTCAGGTCAGATCAGAGGGTGGCTGTTTGGCCAAAGGAAGCATCAGAACCTTTGCAGGACTTAAACGAGGTAGGTGCTGGCAACGCTATGAAATGAAAATCCCACCTCCCTGCTCTTTCTTGTGTGGAAAAGGCTCTTCCCCTTTCTAGCGTGGTGTCCTGGAAAGTACCCCAGATTTGGTGTCAGAGGACCTGAGTTCAAGTCCTGACTCTGTCACTCCCTTTGTGATCTTGGGTAAATTACTTCTTTGAGTTTCAGATACCTTGCATAAAATGAGGGATTAGGATGAGATAATTTTAAGGTCCTGTCCAGTTCTAAATCTGTTCATCACCTGTCCATATTAAGAGTACAGTTCAGAGAGAGATGGTAGGGCTTGGTGAGTAGAGAGCTGGCCTCAGATAAGTACTGGTTGTGTGACCATGGGTAAGTCATTTCCCTCTGCAGGCCTCAGTTTATCTGTAAATGGGAATGTTCGACTAGGTGGCTTTTGGGGTCCCTGCCAGCTCAAGAGATGGGCTCCTACCAAGCCGTAGACCAGTATTGGAATTTCACTGGTAGGAGGTGTTTCCTCACTAGGGGTTCTGTGCATCAGTGACATCCTGGGTCCAAAATGTGAATTGAAAACATGGCACGGTCCATCCTGTGGCTCGGGAAAGAGATGGTGGATTGTGGATGTGGTATGAATCATACACTGGACACATGGCCAGTGGATTGGTTACGTTGGGGGCTTCTGGGGGGGGGGGAATCAGTGAGAACCAGCGGCAAGGGCAGAGGGAGAGAAAGAAGGAGAGAAAGGGGGAGGGGGGGGGGGAGAATGAGAGACAGAGAGAGAGAGAGAGACAGAGAGGGAGAGACAGAGAGGGAGAGAGAAAATGAGAGAGAGGCAGAGAGAGAGACAGAGAGAATGAGAGAGAGGGAGAGAGAGACAGAGAATGAGAGAGAAAGAGAGGGAGAGAGAAAATGAGAGAAATAGAGAGAGACAGAATGAGAGAAAGAAAGAGAGAGGGAGAGAGAATGAGAGAAACAGACAGAGTGAGAATGAGAGAGAAAATGAGATAGAGAGAATGAGAGAGATAGACAGAGAATGAGAGAAACAGAGAGGGAGAGACAGAGAGAGGGAGAGAAAGAGAGAGGGAGAGAGAATGAGAGAGAGAGAAAATGAGAGAAAGAGAGAGACAGAATGAGAGAAAGAAAAAGAGAGGGAGAGAGAGAATGAGAGAGACAGAGACAGAGACAGAGGATGAGAATGAGAGATAGACAGAATGAGAGAGATAGAATGAGAGAAAGGGAGAGAGAGAGAGAGGGAGAGAGAGACAGAGAGAAAATGAGAGAGAGAGACAGAGGGAGAGAGAATGAGAGAATGAGAGAGAAAGAGAGGGAGAGAGAAAATGAGAGAAATAGAGATGGAGAGAATGAGAGAGAAAAAGAGAGAGAGAGGGAGAGAGAGAATGAGAGAGACAGAGACAGAATGAGAATGAGAGAGAAAATGAGATAGAGAGAATGAGAGAGATAGAATGAGAGAAAGAGAGAGAGGGAGAGACAGAGAGGGAGAGACAGAGGGAGAGAGGGGGAGAGACAGAGAGAGAGGGAGAGACAGAGAGAGACAGAGGGAGAGACGGGGGGGGGAGAGACAGAGAGAGAGAGGGCAAGACAGTGTGCCTGCATCAGTAAGACATTTTTAATCCATTAAAAGATCGAGCAGACAAAGATGATGGTTTCAGGACCCTGCTCTCCATGTCTTGGACCCAAGCCAAGTTCACCACCTCTGTGTCATTACAATAACCGTGTCTGTGACATTTCATGTGCTTAAAATCCACTCTGGCTTTGCGTTTCCCAAAAAGGGGCTGACATTCTCCAGGTCGGCCTGACCGCAGTCACGGCCTGTGCTCTGTCTTCTGAGATCCCGGCCATCGGGGCTTACAGATCCATTGTCGTCAGCCGGTCACTTCACCAGGAAGGGCTCCTAGAGGTCATCTGGTCCTGTCCCTGATTTTATGGGGGAGGAAAGGATGCTTGGAGAGGGAAGGGACTTGGTCCTGGTCCTACAACTGGGGAGGTTACAGACGTGGGATTTGAACCCAAGCCTTTTGAACCCCAAATCCAGTTGACTTTTAAAGTATGATACGGTCATGCCTGGACCCATTTTTCTTCACTCCTAGGGGCATGGCACAATTTTAATTAGCTCGTTCCAGATTTTGCTCTGGAATATATTATTTAATTAGCTTGACAGAAATCAATATACTCAAGTTGGGCCTTGGGGTGCCGTGACTCTCCTGTCCATTAGTGAGGACCTTGACCCAGAATGCCTTGCATGATTCTGTTTCCTCTCAATGTTTAATTGGGGAGTTGTAGATCCCATCCAGTGTCTGGGCTGTGATTTCATAAGCCTTTCCCATTATAGGCGGGGAAAAGGAAGGTCCTTAGGGACTGTAGCAAACAAAACCCGCTGACTTGGGCTCTGTGAACATTCCAGTCTGAGGATCATTTATCAGGAGCAAGGCATGGGCTGGGATGCCAGAAAGAAGGGCCCAGAGCAGCCTGGCGTCGAGGACCGAGTGCCACAGCCAGCTGGCTAAAAGCTGAGATTTCAGCTAACCTGCCTTTTTGCAGAAATTGTGGGCTTCAAACAAAGCTGGTTGACTGGAGTAAGCTGGTTTTGCTCTTCCTTCTGAGTGTGACTTTTAGAATTTTCCTCTCTCAAGTGCTTTGAGGTTTCTAAAATGCTTTCTTTGAGAAAGAAGGCAGGGTGCCGGGCGTGGTGTAACGAGGCTGGAGTAGCTGCTTCTGGGGGGGCTGGTGCTGGATTTGGTTGAGCTCTGGAGCTCTGAGCTCTCGCAGGTTAAAGGCAATTGGGTGTCTGCACCTAGTCTGACACCCTGGAAGAGTGGCCTGAGGAGGGACAAACTGGCCCACATTGGAAATGGAGCCCATCAGACCTCTGATGCCAGTGAGAGTGGTGGGGTCAAGCAGGAATGGTGAGTGGTCACTGCGCTTCTGCCTGGGCAAGATAGGGAGACCTGACTTCCCCCTGCCCGAATTAGAAAACAGAATGCACATATTTGTGTATATACCTACTTACATGGATGTATGTTTATGCATAGACACACAATGCACACACACACATGCAAATACATACGTGAGTGTGTACATACATGTGTGCATATATACACACATGAATCTATATCTGTAGATCCCACTATGCCTTGCTGTGTCTCTGAGCATCTCTGATTCCTTTTCTTCCCCTTTTCTTTATGTCTTTGCTTTATCAGATCTGTTATTTGTGCCCTCATTTTTGTATTCCAGTCATTTCTTGGTATGCCCCCCCAAAACGAACCTTCCCCGCATGCTAATCTAGTTGAAGTCAAGCATATCTTGCTGTGGTTACGACCCTGAGCACGTCAGCATTCCCTCTGTCTACTGAGAGAAGGGACGTGCGTCCTGTTCTTTCTTCTCGGGAAGCAAGATTGTGCAAAGTACAACTAATCTGAATTCAGTTGCCTTTTTTCTTGTTGTTTCATTCACATTATTGTGGTTGTTGATTGATTGTCTCTGTTGTTTTCTTGGTTCTACTTAATTTCCTCTGCATCAGTTCATACAAACCTTCCCATGTTTCTCTGAGTTCACTGTCTCTTACGGTGTAATTAACCATTCTCTTCCTGGCCTGTAATGTGTTTTTACCCCACATTCTTGCCATCCCCACTCACTGGAGCCTTTGGCATCCATCTGGTCTTGGGTCCCCCCATCTCCTTGAGAGGGGCCATGGTTGGTCATTTCTGGTGGCCCACCCCTGGATGACCTTTTCTCCCACGGTCCTGAAGGACGTCCTTGCAGCAGGACCCCTGGATCTTGGCAGGCTCTGACTCACTTCAGTTCCCAGGACTGGATTTTGGACTCTGTGTATCTCTGTGTATCAGACTTTTCCTGTAGGACCCTCCTGGAAATCCCCCAGCACAGCTTGGTCAGGACCCTTCCCCAGTCTTTTTTCTCTGCATCCAGGAGAAGTAGGAGCTGTGATAGCTGCCCTGTCCCCCGGGGCACTTGAGGACTCCTGTTAGCCCTGGGAGGGTCAGAGGGCCATAGATTTGGACCCAGAAGGGACCTTAGAGGAGACCTAGTCCAATTTCACCATTAGACAGGTGAGGAGCTGGGTTTAGACAGGTGGGATCAGTTGCCCAAGGCCACAGGGAACAAGTGTCAGAGCCAGAATTTGAATCCAGGCCCGAGTTCCAAGTTCAGTGCCCTGGGCCAGATAATGCCACGATGAAAGTATTGTTATTTTCATTTTACAGATGAGAAACCCGAGATTGGAAAGGGTGCAGTGGTTTTTCAGAGGTCGTAAGTGTGGGACAGGATTTGACCTCAGATCCTTCCTACTCAAAATTCAGAGCTCTTTGATTGTACTGTCGGGCCCCTGTCTGCCCAGACTCTGTGTCTGATCCAGAGGAGCACAGGATTATAGGCTTCAAACTCGAAGGGACCTTGAAAGCTCATTAGGCCCAGTTTTCTGTTTTACACATGAGGAAACTGAGACCCAGACACGTCACAGAGGCATATGGTGTAGTGGATAGAGGGCTCTGAGTTCAAATCTGGCCTCAGACACTAGTTGTGTAACCCCTGGGACAAAGCACTTGATTCCTCCCCTTTGGGGACAGAGAGGCAAAAATAGCGCTGTCACTTCCCTGAAGGAGCTGATCTCTGGGGGTGGGGTGCAGTGGGGGGGTGCCATATACATAGATGGGTGACTGTAAATATATTAAAATATGTCTTTGTACATAGAATGTGTACAAAGTGGATACAAATCAGTTGGGGTGGGTAGAGCAGCATCCGGAAATGCTTCGTACAGAAGGTGGAACCTGGACTGAGCCTGGGATTCCGAGGGTCCTCGGTGAGAAGGGATGGAATTCCTGGAATTGAGCCCACAGGCGGAGGAGCGAATGTTGCATCCAGGGGACACTGAGGAAGCCTTGGGCTAGGATGGAGAGGACAGGAGGGGATGCACGACCAGGTTCTGCTTTGCCGGAGGATGGGAGCAGAAGCAGCCCAGATTCCTGGCTTTGGAACGAAGCTGG